CTTGGGGTGTTCTTGACATTTTTTGCCTGGAAAGTGACTTAACGACTATAGGTTCGTTACTGAATACCACTACCCGCATTATGCAATCGCGGGGTTTATCTTTAAGCGAGCCATGTTAATCGTGCAATATTACACTGCCGCGAAGGATTGCTCCTATGTTCACGCCAAAACATACGGCAACGTTCATTTTTTGCATCAAGAATTGACGAAAAGGATTAATACATATCGATCTGTTTCCATTATTCTTCAGTTCTGCAATTTTTCAGATCGATATACATCTAACTCTTTTCATCCATTCTTCATTTCTACAATTCATCACTTTTTCTCTGTCGCAAGGCATGGACGCCGTCTAATTTTTGGCTCGTTTTATTATGTGTATGTCTTTTATGCCATCACCAAGTTTCTACCAGAGCAAGTAACTGCTGATAAAATGCTGAGAACAGATTATTTCGTACGCGGTGGCGCTGTTAGTGGTAACTATGATCGCTTCTTTCAACGGTACCAGATAGACTAGCTTCAGAATGGTTCCAAGCTTGCTCAATAATGACTAGCGGAAAGAGCCGGCTAAAGCGCGTCGACAAGATGTGTGGCGCGCTAATCACACATGCATGGTGAGTCTATGATTGAAATTTCGTGCTTATTTCTTCTTATTTCGTTCGCTTTTGTCGAATTTCGTTTCTCTTTCAACTTTCTTCCTTTTGATGGTCTAAAGTCTAGGTTCGCTGGATTGATGCAGGCTGTGTCAGGTCAGTATAAGTGCCAGGCCTCAAACCTGTTCTTCGCCCATTTGCTGAAGCGGGCACTGGTAGAAAACGAGTGATACAAACGATGTGACGGAGGCTTGTCACTTGCCCATTTCAGTAGGCGAACCGAGTTTGGAACCGCGCCAGACGTCCCAAGTGAACGGCCCCTTTGTTCGCAGCGAGCCAGAACTAAAATTTTTTTTGGGCTGGAAACTAGCTTCCGTAGCATTGTTATTTTTTGTATGACAATCAATCAAACGATCAATCTCAGTATTGTATGCATACAAAATTCGGATTTGATCAGACGTTGAATTGAGAGAATTCCGTTTTTGAAAGACTTTGTGTCACTATCAAAAACGCTGATTCTGAGTGAGTACTCCGCTCTTTCTTTCCCTTTTTAATTTTATAATCAGTCTGCTCTTCACACGAGAATTGCTTCACATAGCAATGCCAGGTTTTTTCATTGTAGTGTGCTTTTGATTATCGTGGGACATTGAACGATCCGTGTATTACTTGTGATCTATCCCTACTGAGACCTTTTTGGTGCATATTTTCACTTTTCCATGCAAGTGAACCATTTCCGAAAAGATGAACAGTTCGGGGTCCAGGCCAAACTGAGAAACTTCAGCAGTGAAGCAAATTTTTATTCCGATGACATTTGAGAAATTGCCTGAGGAGGCAACAGTCCATGATTCTGATGGATTTTACTTTGAATAAAATTGTTCTTTGTTCACTTGCATTTCTGTCTTGAAATGGGAAGCTCCCAGTTTCGTATCCTTCCCACCAAACTGTTACTATGGTTATAAGCTATTGATGCTATACTTCGAATAATAGAATTCTGCAGTATATCGGACTACACCTCTCCCTAGCTTCTTTTGAGCTTTCACGTTTAGTTGGTGAACGATTTCTCAAACATTTATAAGGAGATGATGTTCTGTTTTATAAGGAGATGATGTTCTGTCGTTTTTCTTTTGATATTCACACGTTATTGAAAGTTTTTATGCAGATATGCCAAGACCTATGCAAAACTCGTAAAGAAAAGGACAAACACGAAGAACAAGCAAAGCACAAGAAGGTATGTGGTGTCTCCATAATTGTAGTATCACACTGTTTCGAACCCTCATCAGGATCTTAATGTGAAAACATGAAGAAGACCGAAAGGTTTCATTGCAAAATACTCCACGGGACCGTAAAGAAATCCAAATTTTCCGCAAAATCACTTCATTTTTCAAAAATTCCGGTACTCAGCATCTTCTTCAGCCATTTGGACCCTGCTTCGCTGGCATAGAGAAGCTTTTGTGACAGGAGCCCCGCCCTGAAATATTGACAATACTGTACTAGCAAAAGTTACAACTTACCATGCCGAGGTTGCAAGAACTGAGAAGCTGGGACGTTTATTGGAGTGTTTTGCAATAGAACATTTAGGTGGCTCTTCATGGTTCGTTATTTCTTCATAATGCTTAGCGTCCACGGTTCTCGGATGCTATTTTCATTTATCATTTACTATTTGTCAAGTTTTTTTGAGGCCGTGAAGTGAAGATGCTTCTTTCAGAAGCTGCTAATATACGATTTCTTTGCTAAAGAAGTGCCAACATTCCAACCGTTCAGTGGATCATCTGTACTTGTGAAGCGACATGTTGCTTGCGGAGAGCGATATGTTGGTAAGATTAATGCTGTTGCCGTTTACTTTATGGGTTTTTGAGGAATAGCGAGTAGTTTCGAAGGTCTCAAGAACTCACAGTTCTTGGTAAGGAGGGTAGTGACGTCAAATGGCGCCAGCGTCAAAAATGAGTGAAATATTCGTGATGAAGATATCAATTAGCCTGATCTTGTGGTGGTGGCAATTAGGCGCTTATTTGCGCCAGGCGCAAAGTAATTTCATGCTCTAAATCATTCATATTCGTGGTCGGGGTTTCAAATTACCCCTATATCAAAATCTCAGTTTAGAAAAGTTTTGAGTTTTCGGGGTAGGAACGGTTCACAATGCCAAAAATATTCATTTTCAGGTCTGGAATGCTTACATGAGTTTCATTTCTCATTCGCTACTGAGCCATGGTGGGCAGTCGAACGAGCAAGTGTTCGATCTGTTACGAATCAGGTGCTCTCATGGAACAGGCAGATATGCACCTTGCCTCATTGAGCCACATTACCACATATTTAGTACGTTATGGTTTCCGTCCTTTCATCCCATTGTCCTTTTGTTTTCCTAATTTTGAATGCAATTTTTAGGACGAATTCCATTCTCACAAGATGTCGAAACTGAAGTTGAAAGACGAGCCACTGAAGGTGTTTGAAGAAGTGAAGCCGATTATGTGTATGAAATTTTCGAGGAAGAAGGTTCGCTATTTTTTGGCTGGCTAGAAAGCAGGGAAATTGCTCACTTCTTCATTCAAAAACTGAAAATTACTATCTAAGGAGTGGAATATACACCACCGGAATGCATAGCGATGGATGCAGTTATAAAACGAAGGCGGCGACAGCGATCGGCAAAACTTGCTGTGGATACCAATCGTTGTAGACCTTCTTATACACTCCATACGGATTGTACTTCAGGATCAAAGGAGCCACGCAAAATATTGCAATGTTTGGTAGGCTTGATGATTCATTTATGACGTCATTCTCAATTAGACTCGAAACGGATAGTAAGTACTATGAGGCCGCAGTCATATATACCATTTTCACTTTAAATCGGACACTTTTCAAACCAAATCGGACACTTTTCAAACCAAATCGGACACTTTTCAAATCAAATCGGACACTTTTCAAATCAAATCGGACACTTTTCAAATCAAATCGGACACTTTTCAAACCAAATCGGACACTTTTCAAATCAAATCGGACACACCCCTTACAATTAGGTGGTTGATAACTAGACACTAGGTACTGTCGCAAGCCCCGCCCCATTATCCCCGCCCACTTCTCAGCGCGGACAGGGTTTTCCGAGATGCTTCATGAAATCTGCTCCTTCGACTTTTTTTCGTTTTTGCCCTTTGCACACACACTTCAACTGAAAAAGATTGATACCTATACAGATCTGACTCCGCCCACTCAACAATGAAGTTACGTAAGTGCTGAATTTTTATAACTTTTTTCGTCGTAGTTCTTTTCATATCCAATCTTCACAAAACGAATAACCATGCACAGCACACCAGGCCCCGCCCCTCTGACCCCGCCCACTTGTGTTTATCGCGGAATTTTGGTTTTTCTCCCGGATTTTTGCTTTTTTAGGCTTTAGCGATTGGCTCCGCCCACCAATGGAAGCTCCGCCCACTTTGGGGAAGCCCCGCCCACTTTTCGAAAATGATGCAAATCGGCGGGCTAGTGTCCGTACTGGCGGATTACGGCCTCTCCCGTCGCTCAGAACAAAGTTTCCCTTTTTTCCGGTTTTTCCTTTTTTTTAAATTCTATGTGCCGGGAGAGGCCGTATTCGACCAGTACGGACACTAGCCCGCCGATTTGCATCATTTTCGAAAAGTGGGCGGGGCTTCCCCAAAGTGGGCGGAGCTTCCATTGGTGGGCGGAGCCAATCGCTAAAGCCTAAAAAAGCGAAAATCCGGGAGAAAAACCAAAATTCCGCGATAAACACAAGTGGGCGGGGTCAGAGGGGCGGGGCCTGGTGTGCTGTGCATGGTTATTTGTTTTGTGAAGATTGGATATGAAAAGAACTACGACGAAAATAGTTATAAAAATTCAGCACCTGCGTAACTTCATTGTTGAGTGGGCGGAATCAGATCTGTATAGGTATCAATCTTTTTCAGTTGAAGTGTGTGTGCAAAGGGCAAAAACGAAAAAAAGTCGAAGGGAGCAGATTTCATGAAGCATCTCGGAAAACCCTGTCCGCGCTGAGAAGTGGGCGGGATAATGGGGGCGGGGCTTGCAACATTACTTGTGTAGTGCTTCTAGTTTATCAACCACCTAATTGTAAGGGGTGTGTCCGATTTGGTTTGAAAAGTGTCCGATTTGATTTGAAAAGTGTCCGATTTGGTTTGAAAAGTGTCCGATTTGATTTGAAAAGTGTCCGATTTGGTTTGAAAAGTGTCCGATTTGGTTTGAAAAGTGTCCGATTTGATTTGAAAAGTGTCCGATTTGAAAGTTGAAAATGCGTATTATATTTGGTTTTGTTCTTGAGTGAGCAATGGTATCTGGAAAAAAAAAATCAAGTGTGAAATGAAATTGTTAGGCATGAAATGGTAATTCTACTTGCTGGAAGTACAAATGATTGTGTGCCAACCATGCAAGCGGTTTTTTGACGCATTGATGACGGGGACACAATGCTGTGGTCATTTACGCTTAACACGTCACAAGCTGACGTCACGAGATGCCAATGCAGTACGTCTTCATATGTCTTAGATCGCGTTCATACTTCGCGTTCGCGCGACAATGACTTGGAGCGCTCGGCCGCCAAGAGCAGATGGCCCAATTCAAATTAAGACTGCTGTGAACCCGGCATTGATGTGCTCCGTTACAGTGCGCACCGCTTTGTGTATGGGAGCGCCCACGGTTAAGGTCGCGCGATTTGCGAAGTTGTGAACACGATCTTGCAACGTACGCTTCTTCATGCCTGTATTCCCGACAATAAAGTTTCTGTGTCGACTGCGCCCTGTGGTACTACTATTAAACCCTACAAACCAACATTTCTAGTGTCTCATGCGATCTGATATTAAAACCGCGGGAAATTCAGTTTTATTAGTTAATCGTTTTAGGTTTGTCGGCAACTTATCGCCTGCAATAGTGATCTTCTAAGCCGAATTTGGGATGTGCATGAACTCTCACCAAGTCATCGCCAATCAGTTGCCGTTAAGATGCTATTGGAGCGATGTTAGTTCTTCCTTGAAGGATTTTACGTAGAAATACCTTTGATAGTAGTGTATATTTTTGGTCCTAAAATAAGAATTTTTGGTGATTAAATTTGAGGGGGTGGCATTATAAGGTATTCTATTGCCAAAAACATGAAATTGACCGGAAATTGCAAGCTGGATGGTCATATACCTTGTTGATTATTCACCCATTCTAAGCTTGCTTTCCCTTGAAGGTCTCCAAGAAGCTAAAGTCCTTATTATTTCGTTGGATTCTTAGCCTTGCAGAAGGAGTCCTTCTCTGCTCGTTCATGCGGGACATGTACACCGAAAGGTCGTCCTTTCCTTTATTCTTTTCCCATTTCATCTATTTTTTCTCTCGTTGCTTGATCTTTGCCTCTTCCGTTATGCCTTTGTCTGAATATATGTATATATAATTGCATCAAGAAAAAGTATGCTTGACACAAGCTTGTAGAGCTGCTTTCATACTTTTCGTCGGCGCTCTAAATGTTTGGGCGATTAGAGAAAAGTTGGGTTAAGAGATCTAGTTTTCGGAGAAAGATAGGTTTTGGGAGAAAGCTTGGCGTTTGGATGCGAAAAAGTGGTAGTTTAAGTATTGAAATAGGCGTGTATGAGCAGTTTCGCCTAAAGCCGTGTGCTAAAACGCTCGAACCAGATCGCGATATCTTATTTTTCTTTCGCACAAAATACTCAAAACGCCGCTGAGTACACTGTTTTATCTCTGGTCATCTGCGCTTTCCCAAAGGCGAGCTTGAATAGGATGGAGATTTGCATCATTTGTCCTGTGCTGCCCCGCTTGCCCCCCCCCCTTAACATTAAGGCCGACAAGGAGTTTTTCAGTTAGTGTTTATTTCCTTGGAAAAAATGTCACAGGATTAAACATCAGTATAAGTTTGCTGCCATCTAGAGATTTTCATGGGCAGAATGAAATTTCTTTGATGCTCCCAGTTCTATCCAGAATAGTTCTGAATTACAGTCGAGGTCACATATGAATCTGGTTACGATGCGGTGACTCCGACGCGTCCCTTCAAGTGGAAATTAGTGGGCGATACACACTACGGACCACTGTGTGGAATTGAATTTTTGGTGGCATTCAGTAAGTTCCTATCTAAATATTGCATCCCACGCATGATTTCCCATTCGTTTTCAGAAAAGGGCAACTTTTGTGAACTTTGCGGATGTGCCGTTCAGTCCGTGGAAGGACATTTCTCATGTGAAAGTCATATCATGCAGTTTTTGGTATGTGAGGTATCTACTCAACTGTTATTTCAAGGAGAATTTTCTATGAGTTTTTCAGACTATCACTTTTCCAACGGAAATGTTCCGTATATCACAATATGCACCGGAATCTCGTAGAACAACCGTGTTAGGTCTGACTGCTAGCCCTAAGTTTCGTTTTGGTGGAGGACTGCACAAGAGAGTGAACGTGGACTGGTTTCCCTCTTCTATGCAGGTAAGCAGGCTCATCAGCACTTGTTTCACTGCAACAATCTATCTTTGAAATCTTCATATATTTTCAAGCATGATAAAGTTGAGAGTATGATGTCATTTCCAAGCCTGATGCCTGAGCTTTCACCTCTTGGACTGGAGTGCCAGTGTTTATTCTGTCCAGTAAGTTCACATTTCGGCATGTTCATACTTCGCGATCCGATCGCTTGTATCGCGCTGACAGGATTTGTCGAGCGTTGGATGGTGCTGAATCACGACGGGGCGCTCTAACGCCAATCGGTCAAACGGCAAAATTCTATTGGGCTTGTTGATGCCCCGTAAGGACGCGGTCCATTTTGATTTCTGCCGTCCCACCAAATGGCGGACGAGAGCCTCGATCACGGTCGCGCGATCCAAGCAATGAGATCGCGAAGTATGAGCACGCTTTGGTGAAAAGAAGAGGCAGTCACTGTGGGCCATGCCAACGAGTACCACTGTTCAGATCTGCTGGCTAACCTCGCCCGCGCGATGAGTGAGTGTTCCGAAAGATGTCCAAGACGGCGGAAAAGCTTTATGGACTTCGCACTGTGCTGAACAATCTCATTTCGAATTTGCCATAAAGAGAGCATGCTTCGCTTTTGGTACGTTTGTAGGTTTTGACGTGTTATTGCATCGCTAGGATTTCCATTCTACTTAGTTCTAGGGTTTCCGGAGTGTAAGATAGCCCACCAATGTTTGTTGTGTTAGCTCCTTTACAAAGTGCAGAACTACAGAAAGATGTAAATCATGTACCCTGTTTCTGGGATATAAGGCGCACCTCTGTATAGAGCGCACCTCGCTTCGAACCCCGCGGCCGTTTCTTTGCATGTTTTACTTCTTCTTTTGTTTGGTCTTACCATATTTATTATTTATTTATTTATTGGACATGTCATAGCAACATGTAAAATAAAATAAAACAAGTTTCGAACATCCAGCAGTAGGTAAGAACAACCATAACGTAAAAATTATTCAAATACAATCACCAACATGTTTCTTGAAAGTGGAATACTTTAGAGGGAATATATTGAACGCAACAGAGAGTTGAAGTAGGAGCACACTCTACTACTGAAAAACTTCGACCTATACCTAGATCTAGCCGTGTTGATAGACAATCTAAACGAAACTCCCCTTGTGCTAGCTGGCAACACATTGAAGAAGTCTTCAACATTCAATTTAACCAAGTTTCTAAGAATTTTGAAGGTCATGAGTAAGTCGTATCTTTTCCTCCTCCATTCCAATGATTTGAGACCATACGAGATTCTCTAACACTGCCAATAGGGATATTGGAATAGCTAAGCCCCGAACATCTGAGCATTAACTTACGTGTAAAACTGTTCTGTACACTTTCAATGGCTTTGATGTCCTTTTTCAAGTGGGGATTGAAGACAGTTGTCCCACATTCCACAATAGGGCGAACATAGAGTTTATAAGTACGTAAAAGTATGCTAACGTCTTTAGTTCTGAGGGCTTTGAAAATATTGTAGATCCGACGCATACCTTTACTCACTAGAGCCTTGTAATGTTTACTAAAATTTAATTTGTAATCATACAAAAACCCAAGATCTCTAACTTCCTTCACAGACTTTAGGACTTCGTTCTCCACGAAATACTTAGGATTCAACTGATGCTCACCCAGACGCATCACTTGGGTTTTTTCCAATGATAAGAGGAAACCGTTAGCCTTGGACCAATCCACTATCTTGTTGATTAGCCAATTGCAGAGAGCAGTCAGATTCAACCTCATGAACAACTTTGAAAATCTTGATATCATCTGCATATAGATTACATAAAACACCTGGACTGGTCAAAATATTCGGCAAGTCAGCGGTGAAAATGTTGAACAATACAGGGGAGAGCACAGCTCCTTGAGGTACGCCACTGCATGCCTCACGCACCGTTGATAACGAGTCCCCAACCCGAACTTGAAATGTTCTGTTAGCAAGGAAATCCTGAATCCACTTTACAACCAGAGGATGAAAACCAAAATGAGCAAGCTTATGAATTAACACATTATGCGGTATCCTATCGAAGGCTTTGACGAAATCAAAGTAAACTACGTCCACATTTTTCTTTTGATCAAGAGCTTTAGACCATGCATTCATACAATAAAGTAGAGAGGTTTCAATGGACCTCCCGCTGGAAAAACCGTGGTGAGACGCAGTTAGAATGTGGTGCTTCTGCATGTGCTCGAGCAAATATTTTTTGATGATTTTTTCAAAAACTCTGGCGAAAATAGAGGTTAGACTAATTGGCCTGTAATTGGCAGGACATGAAAGAGGCTCCTTCTTGGGCAAAGGTATGATTATGGAATGTTTCCATTTCTTGGGCACCTCGCTCCTCATAAGACTCAGGTTGAAGAGAAATTCCAGTGGGCCACAGATTTCAAAAATGCAATTTTTCACAACGACAAAAGGGATATTCTCACAGTTTATGGAAGAGGCAGATGTCCATTTCAATAACACTTCAGTAATGGAATTCTTATCAAACCATGGGGCTGGACTGCAGCAGTTGAACTTGGGAAAACCCATATCTGGTGACAACACCCGTGTATTACAGAAGGCACTTTCAAAGGTATTAGCAAATACTTCCGCTTTGTCAGTCTCCGTGATTACCCTAATGGAATCATTCAATAAAAGCGTGCCTATGTTGTTTTTCTGCGACAATTTGACCTTGAGCAGTGCGAAAAGAGCCTTGGATCCACCTTTAGATAATTTTTTGTTTTCAACATACGCGTAGTACTTGTTTAGACTTTTTAACCATTTTTTACTGAAGATATGGAAGGCATCCCAATCGTGAGAAGACTGAGAGGAAACAGCCCTTTTCCATAGCTTTTCTCTGGTGTTGTTCATCGAAATCAGGTACCTGGGAAGATTATGTTGATTCAAATTTGTTCGTAATTTGAATGGGATGAACAGGTCCATAGAATGATGCAGTATTACCAAAAACATTTCATACATATCATTAAGACTTTGGACATTGCTAAAGGAGCCAATCCAATCGATGTTACTTAAGTATGACCTCATAGCATCAAAATTTGCATTCTTGTAATCTCTGACCCAAACCCTCCTGTGAGGAGAAAAGCGGGCAAGCAATTCAAATTTTACGACGCAGTGATCACTGTTTCCTAGGGGTGGGTATCTAGTAGTGGTTCTAATGAGACTCTTGTCATTACAAAGAAGCAAGTCAAGAATGGCCTCGTCTCTAGTAGGAAAAGAAACCAATTGAATAAAATTATGGGAATCAAAAAGATTCAGGAACGAATTAGACACAGAACATGGTGCAAACAGCTGAGGTAGGTTGAAATCACCCGCCAATAAGCAAACAGAACCACATGAGCTCAAATCACTAATGGCCTTTGAAAGCTGTATGTTACTAGCTGCATTACAAGAAGGAGCTCTATAAACTAGAATTATTCTCAGTTCCATATAATGAAGCCAGATGTCACAAGCAAGGATCTCGTAGGCATCTTTCACGGACTCACGATAAACTACAGTTGTAGAACATGAATTTTTGACCAAAATAGCAACACCTCCGCCCTTTTTGATTACCCTGTCAGAGCGGAAACAGTTGTATTGTGTTGCCAGTGAGCCAATTAGAGAAGCGACTTGAATTGACGAATTCAACCACGTTTCACACAACAAAATGAGGTCGGAGCTCTCCTTACAGATAAAAGCAATGAGCGCATCAACATTTTTCACTAGTGATCTAATATTTGTCAAAAAACAATTGAAAAATGTAGAATCTTGCCGCAGAAAGTTCAAGCGTTTACCGGCAGAGAATTAGGTGAAAGAGAGTCCGCGACAGTAACAGCAGCATTATCCGATGTGCGAGAGATTGTATGAAGATCACGAGGCGAATTCATAGCAACTGCAGATGTATTGGCGATCTTAGCGAGACGTGCTTCGCGTAACTGTTCTCTTTCTTCTTTACTTAGTGAAGGGCGAAGAAAGACACCCTTGATCTCGAAAGAGCGCAGACGTGAAGCTCTTTTCAATGCAAGATGCTGGAACTTAGAAGTAGGCAGGATTACTTTCAAAAGACGAGGGCGATTCACTGTAGGTCGCCCCATTCTATAAACAGCAGAGGGAACACACTCTATATCGAGATAATTCAGAACAGAATTTATGGCTTGAAAATCATTGTTTGCCCTATCAATAGATGAAGGAGCATTAGACTCAGGGATTCCTATGACAACTATAGATCTTTTCTTTTCAGTATCTAACTCTTCCCTAGCATTAACAACAGTCGACTCTAACGATTTAGCTGAATTGGCATTCAATTGGGCATCCTTTTGTTCAATGATTTTCTTTAACTTATCATTTTCAACCTTAAGCTTCTCATACTCCTCAGTGAAGCTCGCCATCCAACTCTTCATTGAGTCCATTTGCTCCTTGGTTTCGATTAGAATGTTTAGTATAAGCTTGATGTACGCAGGGGTGCTTGGCTCCAAACTATCCGCAAGAAGTTTCATCCAGTCTTCATTTTTTTCTGGTGAAAGACAGTCAACATGTTTCCTTCTTGGAAGCGGGCACTGAAAAAGATCGCAGAGGAGTATTCATGACGTGAGCGTAGATGGATCCAATAATGATCTATTGGCAGTCGATAAAATAGTATGCAAACTCTGCCGAGAACAGTCCAGAAAAACTAGTCCGATCCGAAAACAATAGGCTGAATACAGCAGAATCCAGGTAATACAGCAGGTTTTAGGTAATACTGAACTAGAATAATAAGTGAAGTCTCAAGAGCAGGTAGCTCCAATAGTAGAAATAAGTAGTCCACGGAAATCAATACGGGAGCACACGCAAAAGGCGACCGCTCACGACCAGGACTGACGGTGAATGAATGAATGTTGATTCCAGGAAGTGATGGAGGGGGTGTGACGGGAACACCATTGGTGGGTGACAGGATGTGATATCAGTTGATAAGATTCGATAAGAGGCGTCCAAAGGGGATGGTCACCCAGTCCATAGTGCGGGCCACAGCAGCAGTGGGACGTTGGTTCCGAGCAGTGAAATAGGGGGTGGGACGAAAACATTATTGGTAGGTGACAGGATGTGATA